TGTCGTCTGTGGTGCCCGCCAGCAGCTCCACAACTTGCCCTGGCGATGCCCAGCGACCCTCAGCAGGTCCCAGCAGCCTCGGCGCCACCCAACCGGAATTAGCCCGCACATCAGGAGCCCCGACGAGCCTCCAGCAACCATCCAACGCCCCGTACGAGCCAGCCAGCGGCCACCCATGTCCAACCGAACCCAAATTTATTTTCTCAAGCCGTTGAGCGATTTTTGAACCGATGACCTCGTTTTTTTATGTCAAACCCTTTTTTTACCTTTTTTAAATTTTTTCCAAGTTTTTCCCTTAAATTCGAGAGTTCTTATTCCACGAACTACTTAATCGATAATTTTCGACTAAGTATGAATTTTCGTTAAAATTCATGAATTATCAAGATAAGTATTTTGAGATATTATGTTGATTTAATGTAGGTTTTTAAGGAAGTCGAGCCTCACCGACTTATCCGAGCAATGTGCTATTTATTATCTTATCTGCTGATCAGGTGGGTGTTGATAAACTTCACTATGTGGTTATTCCCTATAAATGCTTAAATTTATAATCAATGTATGCGTGTGAACCATTAGTCTATGAGAGTGTATCTTTGTTGATATTGTTGCCAACATTCTCCTATTTGTGCCAAATGAGAGTGTATCTCCCGTTGATGTTTTTGCCAAAGATTTAGCTCCTGTTGATGGTTGTTCGAACGGTAAGGTGCGTACACATGAGCGTAGGGCAGTATAGAAGGTAAACTAGATGATTTATGTTCATGTTGCGATTATGTTTTTAGTCATTATATCAAATAGACTGCATGGTAGTTCCCACGGTGAGCTAGTGGTTTGCTCACTCCTATTATTTTCCCTTTTCAAGTTGAGCTAATGACGATGACTAAAGACTGGTGAGTGGGGTCATTCTTATATGTTATTATGAACTGCTGTTATTGCTTCCACTATTTGATATCATGTTTCCAGACTTATATTATTGTTTTGGATATTGGGTTTTGATTAGTGGATTGGATTTATATGCATGAATTGGATTATGGTTTTGAAAATAACAATTATGATATTGAGCATGCTGTATTTTCTGGTTTAGTATGATGTTAAGTGTTGATTTGGGATGGTTTATTCCCAGTAGCTTGAGTTGGTACTTAAGCTAAATAACTGAGTTTGGATTGAGTAATGCCCGTTAAACAATTTAAAAATGATTTGCAAAGATTTAACACTGATTTTTGGGAAAATTCAGCACTTTTCTTATAAAATTAACGGGGCGTTACAGTGTGGTATCAGAGCAGGTCTATATTTTTGTAGACTGCTTTTAAGAATTTGTCTAAGTGTTTATGGTAATGACCCCTCATCTTTGTCATGCGGGCCAACTCAAGGTATGTGATTAGTTGTTGGTTTAATTGTATTTTTTTGGGGCTTAGAAATTTGTCCTCCTTTCTTTTTATGAACTTTATTCGGTGAGTTATCCTTGTTAATTTTTTTGAGCTTATCTTGTTCATAGATATGCCTCCCCGTCGAGCTGTTAACCATAATTCTCGGTAGGCCCCACCCGTGCCGGGTGATGATCATGCTCGATTAGTGGTACAATTTCAAAATTGCTACCGCTGACTTTCACAAGGATTGAGGGCCCGAAGGCTTTGACAGAGTGAATCTGTAAGCTCGAACTGATCTTCAATGTGCTCCGGTGTTCAGATACCCAGTGTATTGCTTGCGTTGAGTTCCAAATGGACGGTGATACTACAGATTGGTGGACTAATTACAGGATTTTGAGGCCAGCTGATCTTACCATTTTATCGTGGGAGCAGATGAAAGAGATCCTCACCGAGAAATACTTTCCTCAGAGCTACCGTGTTCACATGGAACGGGAGAGTGAGGCCGATATTCGAAAGAAGTATTCGAAGTTTATGTTCTGAGATTTTTTCTATGTACTTGGTTGTACCTAGATGTTTTCTCTTTTGACTTTTGTATTTCCGAGGACGGGAATGTTTTAAGGTGGGTATATTGTAGCGCTCCTTTTGATTTATATGAATTCTCGTAGTGGCTAGTTTATTTGCTTGAATTTATGTTATTAATTGCTTTTATTCCATTATATTGTTACTTGCCTTCGATTATTGTTATTTGCACATTTTTGTGTGAATGCCTCGTATAATTTAATTGCATTGTTCTTGTGTTATTATGTGATGATTTTATTTTTATTTTATGTGTATGGCTTGGTTTAGATTAAATTCTTGTATTAGTTAAGTCATTCAACAATTTTCGATTCAACCGCGTAGAACCGCTTTCAATATGTTTATTGAAGAATTTACCTATCTTCAAGCCAACTTTCGCACTTAACCAGTTTAAGGGCACATTATTGACTTGCACTGACAAATTCAATTCCTTAAACCCAGAGTGGTTGATGTTGAGTCCTTCTTCCCATTCCAGCAAGTACACGCTAAGGTGTGATTTGGATAACCAAAAAAATCCACTCATGATTAGTTAACTCAACTTTAACTCAACCCCACAATTCTTAGTATTATCAATATAATTAAATCACTTTTAATCACTTTTCTACTTCTTTACATCAAATCAATTTTAATCATTTTATTTTAAATGTTATTTTAATACAAACTCAAAAACCTCTATCAAATCTAACCCAATCACTTAGAATTTATTATAATTAAAAATAAACAAAAATTTGTATCCAATCACCCTCCTCTAAATAGTAAAAATCTAAATTGATCTTCTCATGGAGTCTACTGATTTGTACATTGAAGAATATAATAATGTCCCATATCAAAATAACAAAAAATAATATACAAATCAACTATGTGGAGCGAACTCTTTTATAACAATTTACAACAAAAGCTTCTAAACAACTTACAATCCCAAAATAGTATTTACCAAAATTAATAATTCTTAATTGATTTAGGGACTTCAAAGTGGCAGTGGAAAAGCGGTGCCCATGCTGCTGGGACGGGGGGAATGGTATACAAAGTCAACAGATCTCAATGAATACAATAGGATTTATGGCTACACAAACTGTTGAGAACAGTTCGAAATCGGCTTGGCTAGCTGGCCTGTAGAA